ACCACCCCCCTGTTGTCTGTATCCATTGGTTAGGCTTATATGCATGCATACAAGTCCTTTGGTTGATCTCTCCCTGTTATGCCACTTTTTGTGGTTCAGTAAGACCCTTTGCATATTATCTTTTTTGTTACCTTCCACAGGGACCTAAAATCTTGACTCAAGGCAGCTATTTGAAACTGAATGTATTCATTTCTTTCCTCCTCGCTGGGGAACAGGCTCTCTCTGTGTCCTAAAAGCCACTTTCCTATTGTGTTCCTGACCCACCGTCCTGGCACCTGCAAGGGAGTCAGAGCCAGTGAACTGCATCTCCCTCAGTGGCACCAGATCTTGATTTCTCCTGGCACTTGATTCATTCATGTGAACCCTGATGTCGTTTCCCCATTCAAAGGCATAAGAGTACAAAGGTAGGGCAAAATGTATAGTTCCATGGGAAGCATTGGGTGCTACCTGGATCTGAAACCAGCTTCCTCACTACTGACCCATTTTTCTGAGTCTCAGCTCCTTCCCTTATGAGAGGTAAAGGACATTTAGTACTTAGCTAACTAATGGTCTTTATGGACATTCTGTCTTAACATGGAGCAAATAGTTCCTAAGTCTCAAAATTAAAGATAGAAAAGGGTGTAAAAATGCTTGTAAACTTTTAAACTACTAGTCTGTGCAACTATTAGTTACCATTGACCATCATTACTAACCAGGTCCAGGACCAGGAATTGTGTAATAATTACTGCTTTCTAGTACTGTGCAATCATTAGAGCAGAACTGAATACTAATTGATCCTCTGAGTTCAAAGATAATTAATAAACCAAAAATTCCATGGGACTCTTCACCTTCTGATTGTGATAAACCAGAAATTATTACAGGCAGACTAGTAATCTCTGTTTGGCTTAATAGGTCAGGCATAAAGAACAATATGAGATAATCCAGTGATTTTCACTGTATTCAAATGATAAGAGTAAATTCCTAAGCAAACTCTACAATTTTTATCTATGGAAATTTGAAGTATTTGCTTGGGAGTCATATGAAAGTTCTTGGTTTTCTAAACCAAGAAGCACATAGGACTTAAAAAGCTGAGTGAGTCATTTGGGACTTGATAAGGGTTCTCTATGGCTCTAGTGAGAACCTCTATTGCCTTCATGGGGAAAGTTTCTGGAACCCTGGTAGATCATCTGTGACTAATGTGAGACCATTGTGAGTGGATTTAACCCAACTCACCTGAGGCTTAGCTTTTTGGACTTCATAGGTTTGGGGAAAGGGATTAATGCCTGGAAGATAACACTTCAGCTCCCATGAAGCTCATAACAAGAAAAGTACAATTTCAGTGTCTCTCTTTATAAACACTGGATGGACAGAGGATTTTTACTTATACTATATCTTAGGACGGGGTGGGCAAACTTTTTGACTCAAGGGCCACAATGGGTTCTTAAACTGGACCGGAGGGCCGGAACAAAAGCATGGATGGAGTGTTTGTGTGAACTAATATAAATTCAAAGTAAACATCATTACATAAAAGGGTACGGTCTTTTTTTTTTTTAGTTTTATTCATTTCAAACGGGCCGGATCCGGCCCGCGGGCCGTAGTTTGCCCACGGCTGTCTTGGGAGGTCGAAAAGCCAAAACTTGAAATGGAAAGGTAACTAGGTAACCCTAGCCATTTTGGCTCAGTGGACAGAGTGTTGGCCTACAAACTAAAGTGTCCCAGGTTCGATTCCCGTCAAGGGCATGTGCCTCAGGGGGGCATGCGGAAAGCAACCAACTGATGTATCTCTCTCACACTGGTGTTTCTCTCCGTCTCTTCCTCTCCTTTCCAGTCTCTCTAAAAATCAAGAGGAAAAAATAGCCTCGGGCCCTAGCTGGTTTGGCTCAGTGGATAGAGCGTCGGCCTGCAGACTCAAGGGTCCCAGGTTCGATTCCGGTCAAGGGTATGTACCTTGGTTGCAGGCACATCCCCAGTAGGGAGTGTGCAGGAGGCAGCTGATGGATGTTTCTCTCTCATCGATGTTTCTAACTCTCTATCTCTCTCCCTTCCTCTCTGTAAAAAATCAATAAAATATATTTTAAAAAAAAAATAGCCTCGGGAGAGGATTAAAAAAAAAAGGTGGCTAGATACATTCTAAATGTACATGGAGGTCAAAAGAAAATAAGAATTTCACTGCTTCTGCCCTAGGGCACCAGAGGAAAAAATGACTACTTTTCTATCAACCTAGTCACCTCAAATCCATCAAAAGCATGTCTAGGCAGACGAGTTCTCCATGTAACTGAATTTCCTACCACTCTTATGCTCAGTGGTGTAGTTTGGGGAGGTGCTTAGAAGTTCCCATACATCCTCAATCAGAAGTGAGACATGAGGGAGGAAAACTTGCCTGGCAGGTCCTCACAGGAAATTGACCAGGTCGGTCCTGAGTCCAGACCAGCTTTTAATCTCCTATTATTCCAGCAGACGGCCTGCCCCTCCCACTCTCAGTTTGCAGGGTCATGGCTTGCGCAGGAGAACAGAGCTCCTTTAGTCTCTAGGCAATCTCCAAGGAACAGGCTGCAGGACCTGGGTGGAAATGTGGCCTGAACCTCGGCTCTAGCTCAGTTATCTCTTGCAAATATTTGGAGAAATAGTACATCCGCCTCCTTTTGTAGTTGTTCACTGGACCTTGCCAATGTCAAATGGGGGCCTGTGGGTAATCATTGGACACTTTCAATGTGGAAAATCATTCTTAAGTTCTGAGAAATTGTTGGGGTCCAGCCCCAGCAGGTCCAGGGGTTCCCAAAGGTGTGGACGGAGTCAGCGAAGAAGGAATGACATGGAGGCAGCGTTCAGTTGATCCGCATGGTTGGCTTCTCACTTTATTGTTCTATTACATCTATATTTATACTATTTGATCCCATAAGCATGCCTCTATAATTACATCATGGTGTTTCGGGAAACCTTCTACAGTTTCTAGTTTCATTTCCATAATCCTGTCTCTATCTAGTTCTGTTGATTTTAATCTTGTCTAGGTTAATCTCTGTGTTCCATTATAAGGGCTATTCCAAGGTTACTATTCTATTGCTCTACTGATAAGCTACAAGGAAGTGACTGAAGGAGTTTATCCTACCCAGTAAAGGTTATGTCCTCCCAGCCTCGCTGCTTGCCTTCCCTGGGACTGCCCTGTGTCGGTGGGTCTCCCGGGGTATAGGCTTTGGTGCTTTCCTTGGTAGGCAGACCCCTGGGGATGTGGGCCCAACAAGTCCCAAATCTATTGCCAACCGTCTTAGTCCAAGTTCTTCATAAGTAGTACATGGTATTTCTGTAACACTAGGGGGATTTACTGATTTATTCTCTTCCTTAGTCCTGTTAACCCCTAACCTGAGGAAACAACCTTTCTCGGGGAGGTGGTCCTGGTTAAAACACATAGCGCTTAAGAGGGGGAAGCAAACATATGTCATATATGTCAGGTCCCTTGAAACATAAGCTGTGCAGATGTTTCTTCCCTGCAGCGACTGCGTCAAGCAGCAAGGGTGGATCGGCTTCCAGCAAGAAATGTTTTATAGTGTTTTATTGATAATTACTTTTCTAAGATACTATTTCCTTTGAAATTTGTTAGTTGAAATTTTTTTTCATTTCTCACCTCTCGACTATCTCTTTGCCTTTTTGTTCTGTTATAGGGGAATTCCTTACCTTTATCTTCCATCAAATTTATAATAATAGCCAATATTTCTTTTTAATTTTCTGGTTGATTATTTAATAGCAGACTATTCTTTTTTCAAGGATGCAATATCTATTTTTATCCCTCTGAATATATTAATTACAGTGTCTTAAAGGTTTCTTCTGCTCCTCATATTCATTATCTTTCCTCTGAGTTCTATTTTTACTGCTTTTTTACTTCAAGCCTTATTTGAGGAAGATTTTCAACTGGTGATCCTTTGCTGTCTATTTATATGAAAAACTTAGATGGTAAGGCAATCAGAAAACTCTACATGCATTGCAAGAGTTTTGCAGAATCATGTGCCTCAGAGTAGGGAGACTGGGTGACCTGAGAGCTATTTTGTTGAAGATGCCTCCAGATGCTGTCTCTGAGACTAAATCCTCCTAGCTCCTGCTTGGCAAGCTAATCCTCGCTGGTGGCACCTTGGAGCTGGCCAGGGTAGGAGGTGGGGCACCTCTCCATTCGTTTTATAGGCTTTCATTTCATTGCCCTGTTTCCTTAGAACAGCATTTCACTCGTACCCTCTTCGGGGGCAGTTGCCTCCAAGACCAGAACCTCTCTGGTTCAGTTTTTCTAGAGAATAAACCTATTCTCTTGCTGGAATGATTGAGGATATAAACCTAACTATTTTATATTACCTGTCTCACCACTATCATTACTCCGCCAATTGAATCACCGCAGCACCTGATGTCTACAATCCTTGAGCCTTGCCAGGGTTCTATAACATGAATCAGCATATGTCTACTTGGTATCGCTTTACCCAACTCAGGCTTCCACAGGTACCTGAGTATTACCTTTCTCCTTTCTGTCATGTCATTGACCATTCTGCCTGTTTTCAGTCTTCATACTAGCATATTGTGGCTTATATTTGTCCTGTAAGTTTTATCAAAGACAATATTTGCTGACACATGTTTTTTAACCCAGTGAGATGCCTTTCAAACTTTGGAACTTCTGAGCTGTAAAATAACAGGTTTGTGTTGTTGTCAGCTACTAAGTTTGCAGAACTTTGTTAGAGCAGGTCTAGAAAAGCTAATACAGTTTTCATAGGTTCCTTTCATGCTTTCCTATGGTCATGAGGAGTTGGAGCCTAAAGTCTCTGTCAGAGAGAATAACATGATTATTGGTACTAACACAAGGCAACTAAGTAGTCTGTTATCTCATGAACATTTATTGGTCTCATATTAAATGGACGTGGTTCAGAAATGTGCACATCCTCTGTCTGTGGACAATTCCACTGTGTTTATCCTCAGCTGGGTATATACGAAGGCTCACGGGTCTTTTCGGATCATTCAAGCTCCTACAATGGAACAGCGGGCTTGTGAAGAAGCTCAGCGTCTTCTTAGAAAATTGTGGTTAGGAGACTCAAGATCTCAGCCGATGGAGAATCTGCTTCCTTTTCTAAAATAAAAAATAAAAAAAAATAGGCATTATCAAAAGAAAGCAGAGACCCTGGAGCTCAAAAGATTAGACTCATCTGTCCCACTCCCCACTCTGACCTTGTGCATGTAACTGAATTTCTTTAAGGTCTAAACACTTATTCCCCCTCCTCCTGGTGCCTTAAATGAGATATTTACACACTGTCCAGGTATCCATTTAACTGCATGAAAAAGCCACATTAGTGGATTCAAAAAAAAAAAAGCCAAGAGCGGGCCCAGTATTAAAACTGGCACCTCCCGATTCAGAACCACGGGCTTTACAGTTTTTCGCTGAATTGTATGTTCTGTTGCATCAGGAAATCTGATGCCTTTTCTGCAGGCTCTCCCTTATAAGGAGTCCATGGACTGGACTGGAATCCACATCCTATAGAAACGGGAAGGAAGAAGTCCTGGGAAAACCAAGGGAAAGAACTTGTTTGTCCTGTGCCTATTTGGGTACTAAAAATCCAGACAATTCGATTTGGAAGATAAACCTCAGAGAGAAAAGAGGTTGTCTTTAACCTTCAATTAGATTTTATAGCTGATCTCAGCATCCTGGAAGGCTGTGAAATTTGCAATCCTTTTCCAGTGGATTAAAACCAGCATTGAAAATGATGTCAAATCCCTAATAAGATATCAGGGGCAAAAGAGAAGAAACTTACAAACAAGCTCTGAGGTGAACTCATTGCTTTCCGTGGAGGTGCTGGGTTCACCTGCAATTAAGTGAAAAAATAAATAAATAAATGGTTTTTATTCACTTCCAATATATATCACTCACGGTGTGTCTGGCATTCAGCTAACAGTCTCAAGTAGCCCTAGTAAACGTGGGACTCTACCGAGTCTGTGCCACCAAAACTGCCCTACTCCTTCCCACCACGGCACTCTGCCATGCCTGAAATCCTGCCGTAGAGATGAAATGCAAACACCCTCCAGGAGGAGGATTTGGGTAAAAGACTGGTCTCCACTTGCCCTTGGCCATCCCTGAGAGGAACACATGGACCAGTCACGTCTTCATGTACAAGAGCCAAGGCCTGTCTTCTTCCCCAAAAGTGGACATCCTCAAGCAAACCTGCGCCTGGCTGAGAAGGGTATAAACATGGGCAGAGTACCTCCCAGAGCCCCACTTCCTGAGTCTGTCCTGAAAAGCCTTGAAGAAAAATATCCCTCAAAGTCTAAGAATAGACAAAAAAGTAAGTCAAAGCTCTTTATTCTTACCTGTTGCTCCAGTCATGGGCTTTTCCAAATAATCACCAGGAACACTTGCTAGAAATAAAGAAGTCACTTAGTTAACTTCAAAGGATAAAACCTCCATGAATTTTCTCTTCCTATGAAACACCAACATTTCTTAATCTATACATATATCAGGTCATCATATTATACACCTTAAACTTATACAATGTTATATGTCAATTATATTTCAATAAAACTGGGAAAACATTAAATAAATGCATTGCAGGGGGGAAATAAAACTCAGTTCATTGGTAATTGCCACAGCCAGAAAGCATCTCTTGATAAGCAGGCTATGGGGTTCAGCATATTAGCAGAAATGACAAGAGGCATCTGGGCCATGAGACTGCATCTTGCTCTTATAGTCAAACATGAGAATTTTCCTATTGCCCCATGGGATGGGGGTAAGAGTAGGAGGATTAGCGGGGGAGGCAGCATTAACTTACATTAACTTTTTAATCAACCCCTACAGGTTGGGCAGTGAGAGTACAACTGAGATAGCGCTTCATTTTGCAAATGAGAGATATTCTGTGAGGAGGATAATTAGTGGAAAAAGAATTTAAAGCCCCTTAGCTGCCACTAAAATACAATTTCTAGCTTCCTGCTACTACTGCCTCCATTCCCCCAATACATTTAGGGCAGTGCTGGAATATAGTAAATCTCAACAAATGTTAGCTATTATTTGTAGATATAAGGAGCAGATTGTTTAAAAATTGTTTTTGTAGGTAAGGCCCATGGCTCCTTCTTAGCAATAATGAAGGCATCCCACAAACAATTGGGTTTTGTTCATGTGACAGAGGCATTGACCCTGTGGCTAAAAGACAGAGAAAAATGTAAGCAGATGAAGGCCTGAGACAGAGATAGGCAGAGATAGGGCCACTGCTTCATTTATGAGGCTTTTAAACCCCTCTTTCTTCTGTTCAGCCTAAATTCAAATAAGATTTATACTTATGGGTTATAGAGATTCTTTATACCATTCTTGCAACAATTTTTTGTATGTTTAAAATTATTTCAAAATAAAAGTTTAATAAATTTTAGTACCAAAAAAAAAAAAAAAGATTTATACTTATGTAATCTTCATTCAAAATGTTCCCTGTGTAAATTGAATTGTAATCAACTGGAAAAGAAGAGCAAATTCTTAAGCTATTTTGCCACCCTAACCATTGATCCTTTGGAGACATAGGAAGCTCGTCCCTCTTTAGAGAAGCCCAGAAGGCTGGTCCTGGAGACCAGGTCAGAGCGACCTCCAGGCTGGAGCTTACTGGTGTTCAAATGGTTCCACCTGCTGACACTGGGAAAATGCTTCAATTTTCCTCAAGTTTCAACGAAACTAACGTACTGTGGTAATCATTTCACAATGTACGAGTATCATCTCAAAGAACAAAGCAGCAAGGTATCCCCAGCTGTATAAGTTACCTCGGGACATTCCTATGCAATGAGCTGTAAATAAAGAAAGAGAGGCAGGGAGACATTTCTGCATTTTTGAAGACAGGAATTTTTACCTGTGGCCTCCTCAGTGGCTTCTCCCATAATGCTGGGGATAGTTGAGCCCACTTCAGTAGACAATTCTAGGAAAACAGAATGGGAAATGGGTGTGGTCACGTCCTATGCGGGGAATCCAGTTCACTGGAGGAAAGCAGCCTTTCCCTCAGAAATGTAAAAGATGGGCGCCCACCAACTCCTGCAGTCAGAACCCTTACTTACCCGAAGCCTGTGTATTCTCCAAATAAACATCAGTGGTCGACTCTACAGCATCAGTGTGGTCCAGGGCAGTGGATGACTCTACAGCATCAGTGTGGTCCAGGGCAGTGGATGACTCTACAGCCCCAGTGTGGTCCAGGGCAGTGGGTGACTCTACAGCCCCAGTGTGGGCCAGGGCAGTGGATGACTCTACAGCCCCAGTGTGGTCCAGGGCAGTGGGTGACTCTACAGCCCCAGTGAGGTCTAGGGCAGTGGATGAGTCTACAGCATCAGCGAGGTCCTTGTTAGTGAGTGACTCTAAAGCATCAGTGAGGTCCTTGTCAGTGAGTGACTCTAAAGCATCAGCAAGGTCCTTGTCAGTGAGTGACTCTAAAGCATCAGCGAGGTCCTTGTTAGTGAGTGACTCTAAAGCATCAGCGAGGTCCTTGTCAGTGAGTGACTCTAAAGCATCAGTGAGGTCCAGGGCAGTGGGTGACTCTAAAGCATCAGTGAGGTCCAGGGCAGTGGGTGACTCTAAAGCACCAGCGAGGTCCAGGTCAGTGGGTGATTCTGGGTCAATGATTGAATTTAGTTCAGGTTGTAACTCTGAGTCCTTGAACATGTCTGCATGATAGTCGATGTCTAGAAAAAACAAACAGCTCAAATATTTTCTAGCAAGAGTATCTCCACCATCTCCACACCCTTCCCATTCCAAGCTAGATCTTCCCTGGGGAAAAACAGGGACATAACTTGGTATAACAAATCAAATGGCATCTCCCCACAAGTCTCTCTTCTGCCAACTGCTAGAACGTCCAGAATAGTAACTGCCACCCAGTAGTATGCTCAGTGTCCCTACACCACCCTTCTTGAAGGGTCAGTTTAGGAAGGAACGTTTGATATTGTGCCTCTAAATGTGAATTAGTCAGACTAAAACAGAATAAACATTCTAAAAACTCCCCCTCTGTAATCCTTCCAGGTTTCTGAAAACTTAAAAACAAAGAGGGGCAAAGAGCAAGGAAAAGAGCTATTTCCAAGGTGCATATCAAGAATGGAATCAAGGGGGTGCGGAAGAGGTAGAAGAGGGTATAGGGGGGATAAGTGGTGATGGAAGGAGATTTGACTTGGATTGGTGAACACACAATACAGTATATGACAGATTATAGAACAGTAGACCTTAAACCTATATAATTTTGTTAACCAATATCACCCCAATACATTCAATAAAAAAAAAAAAGAACAATGGAATTGACTCTAAAATGGGCTACTCTTATGATTTGCTCATTAAATGTCTAGGACATCATTTTCCAGAGTGTCCCATAGAGGATTCAATCCAGTTATTTGGGGGCTTGCTAACCATATATAAGCATCATAACCATGTAGGCCTGATGAGGGTGCAAACAGGGTCTTCTTGGGCGATAGTGAAAGATACATAGTCATGTGGCTGCCTAGTTCAGCAGGGTATGAGCATTCTACCAATGAGGCCAACGTCATTAGCTCTCTAATTTAGTCGCTTTGCTTTATCATTCATTCACATGCAACTAAGAACCCAACCCCAGCATCTGATATATTGAGAGCTACCAGGGGGAGAGGTGGGAGGAACAGAATGGGGAAAGTAACCATTTTAATGCAAAGGAATAGACAGCCCTCCTCATTAGAAATGAATTCAGAAACGACTGGAAAAGAAAGCCTTTGGGGGAAAGCTTCCTTCCTCTGGTCCACAGGACTCCTCCTCCTTGCCTTTTGCAATGTGATTCACAAGTTTCCCTTCCAGACAAAGCATTTTGAACTTTACTCTGCTATGAAATGAGGATACAGCCTAGGATTTATAAACCTCCATTAAATAGAATAAAGCCTCTTTAGCACCCAACAGTGAAGGAGAACACAGAAAACCCGCAGTAGCTCTCTAATCACCTACCCTAATCCCATCTGCCCAGCCTTTATACCTTTATCAAGTCAATTCAAACACATAGCCCAAATCTTAGCTTAGCCACTCAACTGCCCAAGGCCTCAGAGCTCAACCTCCCATCCTCACCTTAAATCCAAGTCAATATAGTTTTAACCATTTCACTTTACAACTTTCACTTAGTATCTCTCTAGCTAGCTAGCTCCCTCTTCCCCATGCCATCCCCCCTTACACACACCATGAGAGATCTTAGCTCTGTTCTCCCAGAAACCTCCCAATAGTCCACTTACTTGGGAGTATTAAGGGGAAAGTCCCAGCCAGGACAAACCAGGTAGAGAAGATGAGGACCTTCCTGATCATGGTTCAGGCGGCAGGGAGCACAGGATGCTGGAGAAGGTGAGCAGGCAGGTGGCAAGCCCTCAGTGAGCTGGACTGATGAGAGCTCTGCTCAGCTTTTATAGAACCCTCAGCCCAAGGGGCTGAAGGCAGCATTCTCAGGTGGTTATTATTTAAAAAAAAAAAAAAGTAAGCCTTTCCTGCTCACACACACACACATACACATACAATGAGAATGTCTCCCTGGAGCAAAGGCCCTGGGGGAGGGAGAAACAAGGAAGAGGTTGGAGGAAAACCCTGATAAGGTCCTAGGTTGGGTTGCCCCATTACCATTAGCAGCAATTATCTGCTTTTCAGAGGATGAGGGGGAAATTCTAGTTTCACCAGCTAACAGAGGACTCCACTCCTAGCCCAAGATTGCAAGTTTGTCATCTAGACTGGAGCCAACTATTGTTTTACTAAACTCTTGAAATGCTACGTTGAGTCAGAATGCAGGACTAAGAATTGTGGTCAGAGCCTGATGGTGACTTTGATTGTAAGGGAGAGTCCTATTACACAGTCTTCTAACCCGAACCGGTCTCTCAAAGAGAACTGTGACGAGAATAATAATTACTCCGACTATTATTACTACAATAAAGCAGATGTATCTAAAATTATAAGATTTCACATGTGCTATTATCATATTTGATTCTCACCACAGTCCTATTAGGGAGTCATTATTTATCCCCATTTTTCTGGTGAGGAAACTAGGTCAAGGGACTCCAAATTCAATGACACCAAATTCAAATGAAGATATTCAAGTTATGCAGAGATGTCATTCACATCAAGTACTCGTGGCTGTGCAGTCTTGGCTCCTGCTAGTGACTTTTCCCGTCCTCTAGGGGGCAGCACGAAGCTGCAATGTGTCCTTGGCAGAAGCACAGATTAACCCTCACAGTAGGTGTACACTGGGCTGAGAATATGCAAGAGGGACTAACACATAAATAGCCTCAGCATTCAATTAAAAGTCATGTCATTACCTGAAGAGGAGGTGTTTAACACATATGTGCAATTCCCATCACAGGGTCCAACTCCCACAAGTCCTTCAGGCCTATTTTCTTTACTTAACACATTGCGTACCGCATAGAAATCTCTAAGACATACGCCAGGGACCGCACGTTTTTGGGCAAACTGCACGTTATTTAAATCATCATAGTGCACTTTAGGTGTTGTTTTTCAATAATTATAACATTTTTATTTACAATAACAATTAAACAATTAAAGTTCCTAGTACTTTTTTAACGTATGGTACTGCGTAAAACATTTTCCTCTATGAAGAGGGACCAAACAAAATTGACATAAGTATCTAGATTCGCTCCTTTTTCCATGGGCGTGAAAAAACGAGAACACTCGTGAGCGGTCCTTAATAGATGGCGAGAAAACTCCTGAGCAGTACGAAATGTCTTAAAAAGTCACAGCTGATTCCTGCACCTCAGAACCCACAGGGTTGGCAATATCATTGACAGAAACTTACACACAGCCCAGAGTCCCCAGAAAAGATGTTATGACAGCCCCCTGAGAGGGAGGGAGAGGGCTGCCCCCTCCCCACTCCTGTCTTGTGTAAATAAATGTAAACAAGAGACCCTGATTGTGTTGTGATAAAGCCAATTTATTAAAGCAATTAGAACAAGCAAATTTAAAGAAGTTAGGCGAGCAAATCTACTTCATCCAACGCAGGTGGACATCACTCAGCTAATCTGAGTAGTGAGCTAGGTGGGCGTTCGAAGTGTAATATAGCCTCCTGTCTATAGGTTTCAAAATTCCTCTGCTGAGTATCTTGATACAGATTAATTCTCAAGGTCCCTTTTTACTTCATGTGGCCTTCCCAGGATTCTCAAGAAGCACCTGGCAATTTTATCTTGCCAAGCCTTAAAACTGCTGGCTTCTTTGTTTAGGGATTAAAAAGGACAAAACAAACAAACAAAAACCTGTCCTTTCTCCTTCCCCAAAATGGCTGATTTCTTTGTTTAGTTACGCAGCGGTTCTCAACCTGGGGGTCGGGACCCCTTTGGCGGTCGAACGACCCTTTCACAGGGGTCGCCTAAGACCATCCTGCATATCAGATATTTACATTACGATTCATAACAGTAGCAACATTACAGTTATGAAGTAGCAACGAAAATAATTTTATGGTTGGGTCACAACATGAGGAACTGTATTTAAAGGGCCAGAAGGTTGAGAACCACTGGTTAGTGCATAAGAAAAACTCCCTTCTCTCCCCCTTCTCCCCTCCTTTTCTGCATTCTTCAGTTGGAGAGTCATTAACCATTAGCTTACCAGCCTCCTTGGGAGAGATAAGGGCTTGCAATTTACAAGCTGGCTGTAAATGGCCCGCACTGTTTGGCCTTGTTTTAACTTTCTTGTCTCAGTTTCCTTATTCCTTTTGCCCTGGAATTTTCCTCGCTTTTCACTGCCCTGTAACAAAGCCTTTCAGCAATAGTGATAACACTTAACTTTTTGCTCAACTATGTGCCACAGGTATGTATTGTTCTACCCAATACCAACCTAAGGTAATTTTATTATTCTCCTTTTTTAGATGAGGAAACCATGGCACAGAGAGGTTAGGGAAGTTATGAAAGGTCACACAATAATATTGTAGCATCAAGAAGCAGCCTAGCCTGGCCAGTATGGCTCAGTTGGTTAGGTATCCTCTCATGCACCAAGAGGTCACTGGTTTGATTCTCAGTCAGGACACATGCTCAGTCCCCAGTGGGGGATATGCAGGAGGAAGCCAATAGATGTTTCTCTCTCATCAATCAATGTTTCTATCTCCCTTCCTCCTTCTCTAAAAAATCAGTAAAGACATATTAAAAAAAAAAGAAGAAGAAGAAGAAGAAGCAGCAATCCATTGGGCAGTCTGATGCTAGGGCTTCTCTCAACCACTCTCCTATTTCTCCCCCAAGTCCAGTTACCTCCCTGATCTCCTCACTGCCCACTTTGTCCTGTGAAGTGAAGCCCTGCACAGACTTCACCTTAAAGGCAGGGGTGGGGTGGGGTGGGGTGGCGCAGGGAGGCCCTAGTGAGGAACAACGGACAGGAAGGCTGGAGAGAAGCCTGAGAAGCAGCAGTGAGCTGGAGCCTCCAGAGGACCCAAAGAAGCAGCAGAAAAACCTGGGAAAACTAAGACTGTCTTCCAGGAATGGAAGGGAAAATTCCAGTCGCAGTGCTGAGAATCCATCAGCCGAAGAAGCTGCAGGCCTCCCAGCAAAGCCTACAATGATCTCCAGTTTAGATTTGCCATCGGCAGTCAGATGGCAAAGAAAGCATCAGGCACAGCCATCAGACTTGGATCAAGTAAACCCAAAGAAACTCTTCCAACTCTTGCTCCAAAAACCCTTTCGGTAGCAGCAGCTTTTAATGAAGACTAAGATAGAGAACCTGAGGAAATGCCTGCAGGAGCAAAGTGAAGAATATTGAAAGGGTTACACCAACATCAGCAGGACCACTCTCCTTCAATAAAGAAAAGCATGGGTTTTCTTTATGTTTTGTTTTTCCATATATTTTTATTGATTTCAGAGAAGAAGGAGGGAGAGATCTTTATGTTTTGTTTTTCCATATATTTTTATTGATTTCAGAGAAGAAAGGAGAGGGAGAGAGAGATAGAAACATCAATGATGAGAGAGAATTGATGATTGGCTGCCTCCTGCACGCTCCCTACTGGAGATCAGGCCAGCAACTCAGTCAAGTGCCCTAATCAGGAATCCAACCATGACCTTCTGTTTCATAGGTCAACCCTTGACCACTGAGCAACACTGGCCAGGCAAGCATGGGTTTTACGATAACCAGAAGCTATGGGAGCAAAATATAAAATCTCATCTTCGAAATGCCCATGACCAAGACAATTAAATGATATGATTTGAAATGGGGGTTTTGTAAAGTTAAAAGGAACAGTTTCCTTTTTAAAGAATGGTATTTAAAACAAAGACTACCTTTGGAGACACATTTTTATTTTTCCAAGGTTGAGTGGTACACTAATAAGTGAGAGTTTGAAACTTGACATGATTTATATTTTCTATACAGATTTCAAGACATGTGCTAATTTTGTAGTTTCCTATGATTAGTTTCCAATGGTCACAGATAATTTTTGAAAATCAGAAATAGTACCTTTCTAAGAATGGCATATTTTTTAGACACAGCTATTAGCACATTAAGAGGGAAGCAAAAAGTTGTTTGTTTAAACTGCAAGCAATTACTCTGTAACTTAACTCCCTTATTAACTAAACTTTCCGTCTCCTAGGAACAGCCTTATAGAAAAGGAGTATTGCATTGGAGCAAAATGTTACTGAAAGTAAGTGAGATAAAAGTAAAATATTGCTCATCACTGGTTCCAATTTACAGATGAGGAAACTGAGGCACAAACAATTTAAATAACTTGCCCAAAGTTACAAGAGCTAGTAACAGGTAGAAGCATGATTCAATCCAGGCAAAATGGCTCAGAGTCAATTCCCATCTTTCCTCTGTATAGATTCATCTCTTCATCATTTCCGTGTCAAGGGTAATTACTCTGATAGTTAGAGATCAATCCCTTCCTTACATCTCTTCCCCGACTATATTGAAAGCTTCAGAGGGCAGGGGCCAGACTTATACAACTTTGTTCCCTAACAACATCTTGCTAGGTGCTTTGCCCATTATTCTTGAACCAAATTATCTCATACATTTTAAAAGCAGACATTGAAGCTTAGCAGAATCCCAGCTATGTTAGATTTGAAAGGAGGTTAAAGAATGGATAAAGGATGGAAGAGCCCATTATTAGATTTGATAAACCCCCCAAAGCAATCTGAAACAGTCACAAAATCAATTGCACACAGTTTTTTTTTCTCTCTTGATCATTAGGATTCCTTCTACAGTGCTGCCTCCTCCTACCCTTTCCTTTAAAAAAAAAAAATCACATTAAAAGAGTCTTTTACTGGATAAAGAAGAAGTAGTGCACATATGCAATAGAATATGACTCAGCCATATAAAAGAAAGAAATCTTTTTTATCGATGGACCTAGAGGCTATTGTGCTGAGTGAAATATGCCAGACAGAGGAAGACAATGACATGATTTCACTTAAATGTGGAACCTAAAAAAATAAATAAAAATTAAAAAATAAATGAACAAACAAAACGGAAACAGAAAATCATAGACACAGGGAACGTTTTGACATTTGCCAGATGGGAGTCAGGTTGGGGGATGGGTGAAAAGAAGTGAAGGGATTAAGAAGTACAAATGGGTAGTTACAAAATAGTCATGGACAAATCTAGCATAGGGAATATAATCTATAATACTGTAACAGCTATGTATGGTGTCAGGTGGGTATTAGAGTTATCAGGGTGATCACATCATAAATTGTACAAATGTCTACTCACTATATTGTAAAAAAAAGTTCATACTATATGATTTCATTTTTATGAAACTGTAGACAAAGCAAATTTGATCTGTAGCAACAAAAAACAGATCAGTATGTTTGGGGATGGTGGGATGGGAGTGGGAGAGAGGGAGAAGTGGAGATGATTACAAAGAAACACTAGAAATCTTTTGGGGATGATGGATATGTTCATTATCTTAACTGTGGTGATGGTCGCATATATGTACATATATATATCAAAGCTTATCAAATTGTATGTTTTAAATATTTGAAGTTTATTCTATGTCAATTAAACCTCAGTAAAGATATTTAAAATAAAGTAAAAAAAATTTAAATAATTTAAAAAATAATTTTAAAGATTGAATTGTTCCAATGACATACACAGGGGTGTCAAACCAGGAGCCAGTGTCTGAGTAGTAATGAGAGGAGTAGGAGGTTGGTTAGGACAGGATTTGCAGAAGGAATAGGCACGATGCATTTGACTAGTGGAAATTTAGGTGCTGATAGAAATATACCACACGCAGCAGAAAACATGAGGCTAAAGTCCATGAGATTTTGGTTTATGATCGTAATTTTTGTTTTATGCATAATGTGAGGATGGAAAAATAAAAATTTCCATGTACCTTTTTAAGTTCAAATAGGAAGTTTTACAGTCCAGAAGCTAAGCTGGTAGGTAGATTGTCCATAGTTCCTTGAACAATCACTTAATCCTGAAGATAGATCAATTCAGTTAAACAGTTTTGTCTCATTTCAGGAGGTGGTAAATTAGGTCTATATTGTGTGAGCAAGCAAACAGGTATTTAATGAGAGACATTTCTATGGGAACCAAAAAAACCCCACAAAAACCCACACACACAAAGGTTAATGTTTAGAGCAAATTAAAAACACAGTTTCTGAGCCTGGAGGGCTGCCAGACTTCTAGGTGTCAGACTTGATGCATACATCTCTGATGATGTCATTGAGTGTTTGGAGAAAACTCTCAGGTGGTTTACACAACATCAGGCATGGAGATTGTATAAGCATGAGCTGTTGTGGTGATGTCTTGAAGTTTAGTATATGTGGGGGTTTTTAAAATTGATTTTAGGAAGAAGAAGGGAGAGGGGGAGAGAGAGAAACATCCATCGGTTACCTCCTGCACCCACCCGACCAGTGATCAAACCCAAAATTTGGGTATGTGCCCTGTGAGGGAATTGAGCCAGGGTGATTTCTTGACGTGTATATCAAATCATGGAGCAGCAGTTTGCAGGACTTCAAGGGGACAAATGGCCATTTCAGTTTTCAGTGATTCCAAGTGAAAGGATAGGAGAAAATTGAAAATGTTAGTTTGAGGAACTGCAGCCAAATATTTGAGAAAACTCCAAAAACTCAGGATCCAGTCCAGTTTACAGCTGGAAAACAAAACTTCAAAGACAATGAACTGAACCAGAATCTAATAACCATAAGTATGCATTATAGTTACTATTGAAACATAATTTTTCCTCTCTAAATCACCCTCATTTTTAACCAGGATAGTCAAATTAAGATGAATTTATTTGCAGAATAGGTCTAGTTTGTTTGTTTTTTTTAAAAAAATTGGCCTGATTACTTGTATAAGTACAGCAGAATAACCACTGGTCAAACAGGCTCTTTTAAATTTACTCTGCTGGAGTTTTTCATAAGGAATCTCCAGATTAAATTTTTAACAGTATCTCAAGGCTAAGAGGGCAAACCTTATACTTGCTATTAGATTTTGCTTGTAGTACTCTTAGCTTTGGAGCCATTCCTCTCTAAGTGAGGTTCCCAAAATATCCTGATGTTCTCATACCTGCCAGGAAGGGACCTTCCTTACTCCCCTGGTAAGTTGGTTGGGAACCCTGTAAGCAAGGTACCAGGCCAATATGTCCAAGAGGCTCCCATAAGTCCATCTTAATTCCTTAAAGCTGTTTGGTCATATCTGATTCTGCGCATGCCTCTCTCACACATGACATTGCCACAAAAGCCTCTGTATATAACCCGGTTCCAATTGTGTCTTGTTATAAGGAGAACATACCCTTATTGAACTTATGCAAATAACTATACTGCCAAGAAAATAAGAACACTCCCTGGGAGTTTCTATATTCTGGAGGGATCAAGTAGGAAGAAAACAATAAATGTTTCAATTCCGCTCACAAAGGTATAATTTATCAACTCGCTCCAGTTCTTAGGTAGTTTAAAAGAAACAAGTTTCCTTGTACCTGGAAAACAATATATTTTTCTAAAATCAGCAATATTTCAGACAAAGAGTTGTTAGGATTATAATCATCTTCATCAGTTCATTTGACAATTTTTAAAGAAGCTGGAGGGCTGGGGGCTAGACTTAGAGTTTTCGGCAGCCTGTGCTTTTGAAAAGCTCCCGTTTCCATTTGTTTGTTCAGCCTCAGGCAGCTATGACTGTTTACATTCCTGACCATCCACAGGAGGACCTCCGGAGTTGCTGAGGAGGCTTAAAAACATTCCTATCAGACTCTGAAAAATGAGCTTCCAATTTTGCTACATTTCTGATCACGGCGCTATTGAATTCTTTTAAAATGTCTTTTCAGCTAGGACATACAATATTTATTTCTGGCAGTATTAAACAATTCGATGGACTCAATGTGTACGAAGTTTTGTGCCTTCCGGGTCATTCCCTCTGACCTTCAAAAGAAAGAATTGATACCTGACATATCTCAAGCAGGCAAAAAGCTAATGCCACATCCTCAGGGCACAGGCATAGCTATCCCTGGGAGAAAAAGGATCAATAACCAATTGGTCAGGATTGAGAAGGAAGGGACAATGTGAAATTTTATTTCCCTCTTTCATTGGCCTCAGGATAAATGGCTAAACATTCAAGTACCCTTTCTGGTGTAAGAATTTTTTTTTTTTTTAATTATGGCCCTTAGATTGGCCTTGGACCGAGGACCGAGGTTATAAATTCCCTGAGGGCTGGCAGCAGTTTGGTAGGACCCTCACTAAAAATGGACTTTAGCCCACATTTCTGTTTGGCCATATTTTGGAGCTTCCAACTTGATGATTACCCAGCCAAGTTCTTAGGACATAAAATGTAAGGTTGTCTTTAGTGAGATTGTTGCCATTTTTTTCTTTTCCTTTTTTTTTCTTACGTGCTGGATAATTGTATTTCCAGTGTCATGATTTTTTACAATATCTACAAATATCTAAAGGCAAATAGGAAGCGGTCTGAGTGGACTTTGATTTTTGTTGTAATTTCTGTCCTTTCATCTTCTTAAGGGAGTTTTAATGGCTAATCATTATACCAATATGAGAGCTTTCCAGAAAGGATATTTTAGCCCTGGCTGGGTGGCTCAGATGGTTGGAGCATCCTCCCATAAGCCAAAAGGTTAGGGGTTCCATTCGGGGTCAGGGCTCATATGTGAGGCAACCCATCAATGTTTTTTTTTTCTCTCTCCTCCTTCCTTTCTCTCTAAAATCAACTTTTTAAAAAACATAGCTTCAGGCAAGAATTAAAAATTCTATAAACAAATACATAAATAAATGCTTTAATTTAAAAGTTTTACCAATTCAAAGGATCTATTGTCTGGCCATTGATGGTAAGATTTACAGTGACTCCAAAGAGCAATCCTATGGCCTAACTAAGGAAGCAAGAGGGTTCCACAGAGAGTGCGAAGGGTGCAGCCCTCCCAGATCCAACAGTTCATCCCTACAGTAGCCTAAGAAACACGTGGGGCCTGTTTTAAACAGCTGTTCCAAAACGCAGAAGGTCACGTGTTTTCCTCCCTTTAGTCCGAATAAGGATTCCCTAGGCTGGATCCACAGCCCCTTTGCCCATCAGCTGCATCTTCATCCTCATGCTGGCAGAGATAACGACCATCTCTGGAAGCATGGGGTCAACAGAAAACCAGAGGTTCAAATCAAATCTTTAGCACAGTCATGTTTGCCCAAGAAACCAGTCTCACCACCAATCTAAACTTAGAAAGGGAGAAAAGTATTCTCACAACTTTTTCTTCCACTGGATCCCACAGACAGAGATCTAGGGATGGGCGGGGGGCGGGGGGGGGGGGGCCGCGTGCTTACATGGTCGGAACCCTTACCTCCTTCCAGCCTGTGTTAGATGTCCCAGGATCTCCTGAGTTGCTTCAGCCTTAGAGGAAAGTGTGGGGTTCTAGCCAGTAAATTTTCTTTTTGCCTGGCTGCCTCAATAAAACCGTGGGGGCAGAAAAAAATTTTTTCCCTACCTTTCTGAATTCTTCTGGTTGGACTAATAATCTAATTAACATGAGACAAATTAATAGGAGAAAAATTAATAGGATAACCAAACTTATCGCATATGTACATATGGGGGTCCCCCAAAAATATGAGAGCCAGGGGCAGGTTGGGCAGTTAAGGCTTACCTGGTATATGCCATCTTAAACTAAGTGGGGCAAGGGGGAGGGGTTGGTACTTTATAGGGCAAGAAGGCAATTTACAAGGAAATGAAAGAGTTAATGTTTAGTAAACAAATCCTTGCTGGGCCATCTTGAAGCAATGGGACACAGAGGAATTTGATCAAACCAGCCCGGCTAGCTTTCTCCCTATCACACACTAGTTTATATGAAACTATAATTATCCATGATACTATCTCTCTTCCTGGAGCAAGCCCTCTATCTAAATTCTTTTTAAGCAATTAGGGGGAAGGTCAAAGGTTTTTCCTGAGACTTTTGTTTCTTAAAACTCAGCAGCTTAATCAATATTCCAAAGAGGCATATTTTGGGTTGACAAACTCTGTTCCCCTTCAATAACATTGTAAAGGGAGCAACTGTCAAGTTAAAGAAGTAAACACTACTTTGTATGCTGAACAGTACAAGTGCTAAAAAGGAAAGCTAGGCAGAGAAGAGAGAGAGGGCTCTGTGTGTTGGTGAGGGAGGGGCCACAGAACCCATATGAAAGGAACACAAGGGAGTCAAGAATATGAAGGAACACGTGGCTGGTTTTCCTGCACTGAAATTGGTGTTTGGATATGGCTTCAGAGTGAGAAATAAAGGTCGTGATTTCAAAATAGCCACAAAGTTCTTCAGTTCAATTTAAGGCCATGTCCTGTGTTATTCCCTCCTTTCACACAGAGCAGCTGGCATGTACTCGAGGAATGCCACGTCACAGTAAGCTTAGCTTAAGCAAAGCGTAAGGAATCAAATCTGCTAGAATAACAGCTAACATGCCTGTTTTTATAACTGACAAATTGTACTTGATTCCGTTCACCTTTTTCACTAAAGTCCATATATTTAATCCAAAGGCCTTGGTTACTTCCCCAAGTTCATTCTTGGCACTAACTCTCATCAGCCCTCTGGCACCATGATCACTGCACCCATCCCCCATAAACACACAATCTAAACCAGTCACACCAACAATTCTCAGAACACTGTGTTCTCTTTGCTTCTGCTCCTCCCCATCCCCAACCTTCTGATCTTATGGGATCACCATTACTTGTGAAGTCCATGGTTGACGAAAACGTCATTAAGTGGCGCATGACCCTATAATGACATACCCTGCGTCCACTCTTTCCTAAAAGGAGACTGGGAAGGACAACAGGAAGCAAGAAGGGATTTAATGAAAGAGAAAGATGTTTCTGTCAGTGAGTGCCACCTGCTGGCTCATGTTGGTTATAAAAAAACAAACATACAAGTGCAATAGTTGGCTTTAGCAAAAGATCTTGGGTGCCACCTACTGATTTATTTTGAAACTTTTTAATATTTTACAGAAAGATTCACTTAATATATATCAAGCACCAACCATATAAGAGATGCTAGAAATAGAAAAACAGCACAGGCTGGAAGAGGTATCATGAAGACAGATGAGCACAAAGAGATCCTGGTGAGGGGTGGAAGCTTGGTCACAAAGGGAGCAAGTGTGCAGCCTACAGGACAGAGTTGGCAATCAACTAGGGGAGGCCAGGTAGGGGGATTGGGAAAGCTTTATTGAGATGAGAAACCCCAAGTTATCTCTATAAATGCGAGTTGTTGAGCAGGTATGAGAAGGAGGAGCTGGGAGTTCCAGGCAGAAGGAGAGGTGAGTGTCTGCCAAGTGATTTAGTATGGCTGAACCTTGTAATGCAAGACATAGAGAGAGGCACCAAGAGAGAAAGCTGGGGAGGGAGGCTGGGGCCAGATCCTAGGAGGCGTCACATGCCACACTGTGGAGGTTATCCTGGAGGAAATAGTTGGAGAACTACTGGTGGGTGTTAAGCAGGAGAGTGCGGGATTAGACATCTCTTTACAAATACCATGCCCGCAGAAAAAGGGAAATTGGGATTCAGTGCCTCACTTTGGAAATTTATTGTTGTTGCAAGTCACATAAATCTAATCTACTCAAATTAAAAGGGGGGATTTATTGGCAGGATATCAGGAGTACACCAAATCCTCAAGAGCCTGGAAGAGCAGCTTGGAGGTGGGCAGGAGCGAAGGCAGTTTGGAGGAGGCACAGCAGTTGTCTCATAGTTGGCACAGTCTGACCAAGATTTGGCTGCAGAAGGACATCACTGCCACTGTTGTCCTGAATTAGCCCTACTCACCCCAGTAGGAGCATGGGATTGTCAACCTTCGGCCCATGCCTTGGTTGCTAGGTAGTTGTGACTTCCTAAACGGAGTATTACTTAGGGTACCTGTTTGGCTGCTGTGACAAATATCAAAATTAATGATGACTTTATTTCTCCCTCATATAAAGGCACGAGTTGGTTGGTCAGCTCTTTACTGTGAAGTCAGCCCTGATCCAACCCCCCTGGATTTTTATCCCACACATAGTTTCCATTTCGTGGCCCAAGAGAGCTGCTCCAGTTCCCACCATCACTTTTGCATTCTAGCCACAGGAGGAAGGAGAAAAAAAAATGAGATGGCATGCTTCTTTCTTTTAAGAACACAAACTGCGAGTTTCATATTTCACTTCCACTTACAAGCCAATGTCCAGGACTTGGTGACAGCCACATCTAGCTGCAAGGAAAGCGGCAAATGGAGTCAGAATTCTGTGTGGCCATGTGGTCAGTTCAATCCTCTTACTATGGAAGAAAGGAAATGCATAGTGTGGAACAACTAGAAAATCCCCCAAGTAGCAAGTAAGGAGCTAGATTCTGGCAAGGTCAAGAAATAACAGTGAAATGTCCAGTACAGGCAGATAAAGTAGGCGGGAAAGCATTTTCATCATCGGTGTAAGAGATAATAGGGAACAGAACAATAAGTTTGGATGAAAGCAAGTGTTTTAAAATATAAAGAAGTCAGACTCAGTAGGATTCGGAACCTGATTGAATATAGAGGCTATGAGAAAGGGAGGAGAGATAGATGAATCTCAATTGTCTGACTTTGATGAGGGGGTTGATCTTTGAGCCATCACATAAATAAGGAACATGACAGGACATATACATTACATTAGAGTCTGTGTGACATTCCAGTGGAGATGCCAATAGTTGGTCAGGTATCAGATTCTTGACAGAAGACAGATGAATTTGATAATTGGTAGCATATTGGTGGTAATTGAAGCTGTGGAAAAGAATTACATCACCAGAGGAGAACATGAAACTTGAGACAAAGGACTAATAGTAGAACCTTAAATTAACCTCTGAGAATACACCTAAAATTAACTAAACCCATCAACCAAACCAAGAGTACAAGGAAAGCTATCAAATGATAGCGCCCATGATAACAGCCAGATGAGGCAGCACCCAGTACATCCCCACCTCCTAACCTATCTTTTCTAAAATACTTAACAAGCACTCACTGGATAGAATTCCAGAATTATCTCTAAATAATGCCTGGAATGAGTGCATTAGCAGAGGAGATTATCACTGAGGTAACACAATCAAAGGGTCCAGTCTTCCTCCACTGAAGTGATGAACCATTAAAAAGAAATCTCTTTGTGTTAAGCATTTCTTTCTTCAAGGCCCATTCTCTTCAAGGAAATGTCCCATGAAGCTCCCAATCTCAGATAGTGCATTTTCCAAAGCATTTTCCTGAAAGGAAAGGAAGACGGAGCCCTGAAGGAGGGTTGAAGGCTACAGGTAAAGACTCTCCCGTAAGAAGTCACTGTTTTGCAATTTCCAATTTCTTACAGCTACTCTCTGTAGAATCTGAAAAATGTCTATACGTTGGTCGTTGCAGCAAACCAGAACAATTTTGCTTCATACATACTTAGTCAACATTGGGTGGGGTATTCATAAGTTTCACCATCATGAAGGTTATTCAACAGATCAGACTCCTTTTTAATTCCAAATATTCAGCTTCAGCGTGTTTCTCATTTTACCCCCCTGCTTCCTTTTTTTTTAATTTTTGAAAAATATATTTTTATTGATTTCAGAAAGGGAGGAAGAGGGAGAGAGAGATCGAAACATCAATGATGATAGAGAATCATTGACTGACTTCAGGGGATTGAGCCCGCAACCAGGGCATGTGCCCAGATCAGAATCAAACTGGTGACCTCTTAGTTCCTGGGTCAATGCTCAACTACTGAGCCATACCTGGCTGGGTCCCGCTTCCCTTTCTTCACCATGTAAAACTATAGCTGTAGTCTCAGTGAAGTATTATAGGCAAGCATGAATCATTTTTAGCCATATGAAGAGTAATTAGCATATAAATTGACGGTCCCAGTAAAGTTCTGGGAGAATATATAACTTTTGTGCTCTGTTCTGATTTATTAATTATTTTTGTGGGATTTGTTGAATTATAATTTATATACAATAACATTTATATTTTTTAAGTGTATAGCTTAATGAGGTTTAACACTTAAACACAGTTGTTCAAACATCATCACAACTAGGATACAGAAAAATTTTATCACACCAATGAGTTTCCTTGTCTTCAAAGTCAATCCCCACCCTTCTCTCTCAACTCTTGGCTTCAATGGCCTGATTTCTATTTTTATCTTTTTGCCTTTTCTAGGATGTCACATAAATGGAATCATATAGTACTTAGTCTTTTATGTCTGACTGCTTTCACTTAAAGAAATGCTCTTGAGGTTTATCCACAGGGGGACCCATACTTTGTTCCTTTTTATTACTGAGTAGTATGCCACTGTATGGGTGTACCACAATTTGTTTATGCTTTCATTCATTAATGGACATTTAGATTGTTCCCAGTTTGAGGCTATTATGACTGAATCTTCTCTAAACATTTTCATATAGGCTTTGGTGGACATCTGTTTTATTTTTCTTAAGAGTGGGGTCAATGGGTTATATCCGTGGTCGGCAAACTGCGGCTCGCGAGCCACATACGGCTTTTTGGCCCCTTGAGTGTGGCTCTTCCTACAGTAATTAATATAGTATAATACTGACAAATATAGGTTGATGAAACAGAATAG